CGCTCTGAGAAAAGACAGGACAAAGCCTTGGGAAGATAAGGGGTCAAAAAGAAAAGCATTGTAAAAACTATTATTCTGACTCCCATACTAAATCATCAAGGAGCTGCTCATATGGTTCTGAGAGGTCCTCGAGAAAACTTTAAATCAGTTTTGAAAGCAATGGTGACGAGTCCTAGACCCAATGCAGAGTCTTGAAACTGCAGGGAGTTACAGGGGGCATGAACAAACTTGTGACCCGTGAATACCCACGCTTCTCTTTCTGTTTCCTGTCCTAAAACCAGCGATGACGATGATGGCTCCAGTTCCTCTTTTCTTTTCCACCACATGTGCCTGACCTTTTGCATTCGTGCTCGACACCTACAGTTCTTCCTAAAACCAGGAGACAAAGTTTCTACTTTGCATTTCACTTCTGTTTCTCTGACATCACCAGACTGTTCCAAATGTCATCAGAGCTGTAAAAAACAAAAATGAGAGTTAGATTTTCACCGGAGGTTCACACTGAAGTAACTCCAGTGCTAAAGCTCACAGACATGAATCATCAGCTGGAGAAGCAACAAAAGAACAACATTACCCAGAATACTTTAACACAACAGGAGCAAATACACACTAAACACCTGAAGCACAAAGAAACAGGACTGAAACGATCGCCGACTTTGAGATGACAGGAAGACACAACTGATACACAAAATAAACACACATACACACACACACACATGCACGCACACACACACACACACACACACACACACACACACAACATATATACCAAGTAGTGTTGCTATGGATACATTGTGATTTCTTAGTAAATATTCTATTTGGTGAGAGATAAACTTTATTGTATTTATCCTAGTGAATCTATAATTAAACGGGTAAACTAGTAGTAGCACATTCAGTGTCAAAGAAAGTAAAATGTTATTATCAGGAGAGGGAGAATGATTAAGTGGTTAGCAGCAGTGTGCTAGCCGATGGCCCCCTCCATGAGGGCACCGCAGCTCAGCAGAACACCTTCTTCTGGGGAGAAAAACAATTAGAGAAAAAATAAACAGCAGTGTAATGAATAAAAAGGGTCAGTTTTCACCATAGAATTGACACAGCATAATCTTTAATACACGCCAGAGCTGCAAAGTCAAGGTTACGCCAGCTGGAGGATCCTGACGCACAAACCAACCTTTTGCTCACTTATTGTTCTTCAACACAGAAATAAATAAACTGTCAAGGTCTCCCGCAAAAGCCCACCTCTGCTAAAAGTCAGACTGCTGGATTCCTCACTCTGGATAAAAGTGATTCTACATGAATCCTTCAAGGCTTTACAACTTATAAGTTAATTAATCATGATGAATGAACAAGATGTTTAAATCAAATGTTTGAATGAACTGTGCTTAAATCAATGAATTTAAAATGAATATTGTTCTTACAATGATCAATTTATATCACAAATCACTATGTGTTTGATTTAACAAGTTTATTTATTTATTTATTAACTTATATTTTAAGGAGGATACAACCACTTGAGATGAAGCATCTCATTTACAAGTGGGTCCTTCTGGAAACAATGATGCAAATACAAAGACAAGATAACAGAGCAATAAATTGAATTCAAAACAAAATGACTAACACTACCACAATAAAAAATAAAAAATAAATACATTAAAATAATAATAATAATAATAATAATAATAATAATAATAATAATAATAATAATAATAATAATAATAATAATAATACAGAAATTAATAAATAAAAAATAAATACAATAAAAATAAAAAAATAAATAATAATCATAATAATAATAATAATAATAAAATAAAGAAGTTAATCATTGTTTACACTCATACACATTACAATAAGATACTCATTAAGGTCAAAAACATCGTTGTATCTGAAGGAAGGCATGGCTTTCTGAGGAACGTTTAGGTAAAGCCTTCCAGACATGGCACATTCTGATTTGCCAGAATGCCCGGAAATCATAACAAAGTAGTTTAATAAAACAAGACTTACTTCCCGAGTAATTCAGTTTCTAGCAGTTCCGAACCGGCCAATTCAGAACAAGCATCCTTGAGACATCTATTTTGACCTCTAGTCAACCTGTTTGCACGCTGCAAGCTGACACAGCCAGACAGCTCCCTAAGAGCCACATCCACTTTGAATGCAGACAAGCATTCCAGCTACTGCTGTGACCTGGAGACATCCCAAGACTGGACGAGTCGTATCGGAGTTAATCTACGAAATCCCGGTGCCGTGAGTTCCACCCGATTTCTGACAGTCCGGATCTGCTAGGGGTCCCCGCCAGGGTTTGTAGCATGGCCTCATGGTTTGAAGCATGTATATTAATGTCGATGGTTTGTAGACACAACAGATTGTGTCTGATGCTGTTGTTTAATAATCAACTCTAGTTCATAGCAGACAACAAATTATTTTACACCAATATTTCACAATTTCTTTCAGATACAAAGATTCTGATAAACATCTAGCTTACATAACATTCCATCACCGCATATCCACTCCATCACATCTCATTTTTCATATCTTCTCATGTATAATCATTAGTTTAGAAAATAATTACATTCCTTTTTAACTATATGCCTGACTCTGTCTGAATTAATACAAAGTGTGTTTATGGTCCCTGAACAAGTAAAGAACCCCAAAATATTCTGATTAAACAGTCAAAGATCAATCAAAGGGATATTTCATATTTATATGGAATAATCACATATAATTAATTAGCAGTCGTCATGCTATGAAGTGTGACCGCTACAGCTGAAATACCTGGGTCTGTCAGCACAGTTGTGAAGAGCTGATGTGTTGGGCTGGTTCTGACCCAACAGGAGGTTCTGTGGATCTGGACCATCTGTCTACCTGCTGAAGCTTGGACCAAACCGGGTCGTGAAACTTTATTTTAAACTTTGGTTGTAAACCTGGAGCAGAAACTGAGATTTGTTCTAAATTGCAGCATAAAAGCAGAATTCCCATTGGTCATGTGACTTAGACTGTTGTCATTTTGCTCCTGATGTCTTTGATGTTTTATACACTGATGGTGGATTCTGCCAGTGGTGGTTTCCTCCTAAATCTTATTAAAGTGAATGAGTGAATGAACGTTCTGAACAAAACTGTAACTTCCTCCAATGTAACTCAAAATATCAACAAACAGGATCAGTGACGTTCCCTTTTACGTAACACTCGAAGGAATGTTTTACAGGCAAATAGCCAACCTACACACACACACACACAAACTGCCTGGGGGTTTCCTGTTTCCTCTTATCTTTTATACAAACTCGTTTTTATCTCTAGCTGTGCTTACTTTGTCTTTCGTCATCATCAGGAGTTTAGCGGAACAAAAACGTAGAAGAAAATTCCAGCATTAAAAAAAAATCCTGGAAATTTTCCAATTATAAAATTCCTGAAGATGAATTTTTATTTAGCCTTGATGTGTTTGAGTTTTTGTTGTCTTGAGCTTCCTGATGCTTGGTGACAGTAAAAGTGAAGATCCGAAACACATGCGGGGAGCAGTATTGTGGGTCATCAGAACCCCGACATCATAAACCTGTCAACACCTTTTAGCCTCTAGACAAGAATCAGCTGTGACCAAAAACACCAGAGATTCAGTTCAGAGAAGAACGGAGGTGCGAAGAGAGGAAAGTAAAATCCCCGGACCTCCACCCAAGGATGAACAGAAACAGAAAAGAAAAAGTTTAAAAGCGTCAGGAAGGAGGGAGGAAGTAAATGTCGCACAACGAACTTCCACGAAGCAGCAGAAGACAAGCACACACACACACACACACACACACACACACACACACACACACACACACACACACACACACACACACACACACACACACACACACACACACACACACACACACACACACACACACACACACACAGAGAGATCAATAAAACAGAGTAATAGTGATAAACTAGTGGTTGAGGAAACTAAAGGGTGTCCATACACTCAGCTAGAAAAACATCGCTTCCTGTTTGTCTTTTAGTAAATGTGTCATAAAGGCAGAACTGTGGTTATTAGAGATAAACAGCAGAATGTATTATTTAGTAACTCGGGCAGATGGCCTGATATTAATGAGAACACTCTGAAATGACATTTGTTTGGTTTTATTACTTCCCAAAATGAAAAAGATATGTTTGTCTTTTAGTGCCAATATCAAATCAAAGTATAGCGCCTCCCATGTACAAAAGGACATGTCGATCCCTAAAAGAGGCAATAAAACAGATTAAAATACAGTTAAAGGATATTAAACATGAATAAATCTGTGTGAAATGATCTCAAATCTGCAGTAAATGTCTTTGGTCTCAAACTGCTCATCTTTATCAGCAAATTCACAAGAATAGAAACATTGTCTGTCGCTGAAGGCTAAATGTAGCATTTCTGTCCATTTCTCGCCAAGAATAGAAAATCTAATATGCTCGCTGAAGATACAAATAACTAAGAATATTCCATTCCCTCTATTTTGGTTCATGAGTTTTTAAAAATCTGACTCATCCCTTGAGTTAGGAATCTTTACTGTCAAAGTAACACACACAATAATAGAATAAAATAGAAACTAAAACAACACATGTGTGTTTGGTTGTGTGGGAAACTCAGACACTAAACTAAATGTTTAACCTTAGTATTAATTATTTAATTGGTTAATTTTTCTAGTTACTCAATTCAAGATCATTTATAAAGCGCCAAATCACGACAAGAGTCGTCTCAAGGCGCTTCACATAGTAAACATCTTTATTTATTCTGTACGTGTGTGTTTTCCCGCCATCTGTAACAAAACAAACTTCAAACGAGTTAAATTCTCTCTCTCTCTCTCTCTCTCTCTCTCTCTCTCTCTCTCTCTCTCTCTCTCTCTCTCTCTCTCTCTCTCTCTCTCTCTCTCTCTCTCTCTCTCTCTCTCTCTCTCTCTCTCTCTCTCTCTCTCTCTCTCTCTCTCTCTGGAATTCCCGCACCAACATGGCAGCTGATGTGACGTCACACCGCTCTGTGATTGGTGGAGCGAGTCTATGTGAAAAGGGTGAGCGGAGCCGGTGGTGGGAAGCTCAGAGGAATCCTGCTACCGGACGGCAGAGAGACGCGATCGGAGAGATACGCGGTGAACGCCAGAAACGGAGAGTCGCTCGAGGATTTGCTGGACTACACTTGGTCACGGACTCGGAGAACGTTCACGGGGCTGATTTGGAAACGAGAATTCCCGTTAATCTTCCGCTCAGAGCAGTTTTTTTCGTTGGGAACCGCCGCGAGGACAGCCATGATCCGCCTCTGCCTCGTGCTGATTCTGTCCGCCTCCGTCTTCTCTGAGTCGGTAAGTTGATCCGGTTCTGGTTCTAACCTAACCCGCCCCGTTTGGTGTTTGACTGGTTTAAGTGGTTAGTTAGCTTTAGCTGGCGGCTAGCCGCTCTCTTGTTGATCCGCAGCCTGTTCCCATTAGTCCGGGGGCCCAGCTCGAGGGCGGGCGGGCTGGTCTCCCGGGCCCGGATCCGCTCACTCTTTACTGGATTAACTGGATTTATTCCCAAACATTCCAGCCCCTCTCCCCCCGCAGAGCTGGACGGAGACCATCCATGTCCTGTTTAACTCGCTGTGGGGACATCAGCGGGACGAAGAGATCAACTCCCACTTCCTGTTTTTCCAAACATAAGAACCTGGGTACGGAGGATTTGGAAATGTCTGAAACTAGCTGGTAGTTCATGATAATCCCAGTTATAAGCATTTACGGCCTGTCTGCGGTTTTCCTCCACCACAGCTGGGATTGAATTTTATTCTCTAAACAAAAAACATCCTGCCAGAATTCTCAGTGATCCATGAAAGTGGTTCTGGACATGGAACAGTTCCCCAGACCTTAAGGCTGATTGTCCTCTAGGTTTTAGTCTTTGTAGCAGGAATGTTGCTGAGCAGGGCTGCCGCGAACGACTAGTTTAGTAGTCGACTGGAGTAGTCGCCAGTTTTGTTGACAATTAGTCGACTAATCGTGTCATTCATAAAAGTTTAGCTTATTGCACCAGGATTCTCTAATATACCATCATTAACTGTGATCAGCTATGAGCCATCTAATAATAAAGACAAGATAATTCACTTTGTAACCTGTTAATACAAATGCTGCAGTCAGGTGAAGGTAGGCTCCTAAAACCAAACATGACTTGGTCACCAGAGGCATGGTGGCAAGGTGGAAGAGCTTCATCTTCCAGTCTTAACTCCGGTGACCCCAAGGTAGCCTCTGTAGCACGGCTGGTCCACACGTCAGCGGTCAGGGTCTGCTTTACCGTTAAGATATTAAAGTTAGTTTATTTACTAGACTAATAATTCTGTTATATCTAATAATGTAGGCTAAGATTTAACACAAAATGTTTTGTGCTTTAAAAATATTATTTTCTTGTTCAGTTGGCAAACTTTTTATTTTATTATAAATGCATTTTATTCTAACGTTTATTTCATTTGTGTTCAGAGAAACACACACACACCTTAAAGGCCGTTTCACATTTCATTCATTCATCTGAACCATAACGGGAATTTACCATCGACATATACATATATGGACAATGGGTTTCCATAGATTCCAATAACACGTTTTTGAGCTAAAATGGGAGGTGGCCACCACCGCCATTTTGACCGTGTCACAGGTTCCGTCAAGCCCAGACAATTCCATAAAAGGAAAGAGAGGTGGAGCTGAGGGTGGGGCTGTAAGGCTGGGATTAAGTGACGACACCCGGTCGAACTAGCTACAAGCTAACCCAAAGCTAACGCGGAGGTGGGAGCTAAGCTAACAGAGGTAGCAACCTAGCCACAACCGGAGTTAACTGCACAACACCAGAGCTTCTGAGTCAGAGATAGGCCGGGCTGACCGCTGGGTAAAACCGGGTGGAACACAGAGGTCTCTAAGACCTCCACAAGCTGGCAGCCACACAGCAGACAAGCGCCGCTGCGATCTGAGATGCGCAGAGCTGCCGCTGGGGAGAACCAGGTGGAAAGGTTTCCATCCCAGAGCTCTACAAGCCGTCAGCCCGCGCAGCAGACAGAAGCCGCGATCAGACAGAGATGCGCCGAGCTGCGGGGAGGCGAGAACGGGTGGAAAACATCGGTCTCCCGAGAGCTCCACAAGCCGATAGTCGGAACCCAGCTCCACCAACATGTTCTATTTCAACCCATTTTCTAAAGTGCAGCGTTATGTTAAATGCACTGGGTTTTACCCTATTACATTTAAATTTCATGGTTAAACAGTACATGTTAAAATCTAAGCTCAGCTCGGCATCCCTAATGCTCACAATGGCCTAGGTCGAGACGATGTGCTCCCATGAAAGAAGAGTTTCACTTATCTACGGGCCTTCCTTTAGTCTTTGTATAATGCTCCCAAACTTTTGATCTACGTTGCGACTCGCCATGTTTTCTTTCTTCTGTGACGAAGGCTGAGCCGGATGGCTACTACTGCGCATGCACCTCGGAGCTAAAGCGGCGGCTGAGCAGAAAGGCAGGAAGCAAACGCCGAACGTGCCGCAGCAGGCGAGATTTAAAAAAAGTTTACAAATAAACAACGTGTCTACTATTAAATTAATAGTCCACTGCTTTGTTTGACGTCGTCGTGACTAGTCGACTAATCCAGACAGCCCAATAGAGCTCCGGACCCCACGTGACTCTCAGTTAGTAGACGCCATATTGGCAGTCAAAAAAGGTAAACAAACACGGATCGTAAACATGAACGGATCGGCTTGGATTTTACTTCGTCGGAGTTTACTTCACACTTTAAAACCGAAGAAATTAGGATTAGCGAGCGAGTCATCCCCAAATCAATGCTTTTTTTTCTGATAAACTATATAAATGAGTCTAATCATGCTGATGACACGTGTATTTAGGGCTGCACGATATTATGAAAACCCGCAATATGCCATGACAGTGATTAATGTTGCAATGATGATATTAGGTGTGATAAATAAAAACTTAACTTGGGAACAAAAATAATCAAAAACAAAGACATAAAAAAATGGCTAAAAATTATAAAAATAAGAAAAGCAAATGATGTGAGGAAAGGGAAAAATGAGATGAAGATGAAAAGACAATCAGTGGATGCTGGGAAAAGTTGAAAGAGCAGAAGAAAGCTAACTCAGGTGTTTGCTATCTAGTATGTGGCTAGACAGGTGCAAATAAGTAGTAAAACACAATTACTAAAGTGCAGATGACAACAGTAATGCAAACTCCCCCTGAGGCTTTACCACTTCAATATTTAACTTCCCATGTTTGTTGAAACATGATATGTAAACAATGGAGCTGCATTTTTTTAAAACTCTTTCAGAACTTGAGTGGTCCGTCTATAAATAAATAAATGAAGGTAAAGTAAACAATGTGTACTACACATATAAAAAAATTCTGATTTCCAGTTATTAACTTAACTTACTATAAAGTGCAGGAGAATTTAGAAAACAAAGTGCTTAAAGAGCTGGAGATTTTTTTTCCCCCATTTTGGTAAATCAAAGTTTCAATTGTTCACATGTTTCACCAGTTCTTAATATGGCGTTTAAAGTGTGCCACAACCCGTGCACGCGCATTGGGTCCACAGCGCGCGTGTGAACGGGACTCGCGAGCGCAAATATACATGGCGAGAGGTCATTTGTGCACTGAGAGGGAGCAAACTGTGTCTGTGAGCGCACAAGGATGTGCACAAGTGACAAACCTGCGGATTTACTAAAGCAAGTTAGTGAACAGAAAATGGCCAGTGAGGACTCTCCACCACACAGGAGAGACCCAGTGAAAGCAGAAAAACAGTAGGCTTTGTAGGCAGCACCACACCCTGAGCCCAGGTGCCTCCAAGGCTGCTTAACGAGCTGCCTACAACAGAAGAAAAACACAATTAAACACAAATGAAAACCCAATGAGACGGTGGGGGCATCACAACACGTTCAGGACTACCCAAACACCAGTAATTCTTGACTGCACTAACTTGCTTTAGTAAATCCTTACTTTGGTTAAATAAATCAGTTGTTGAACTCCCCACTCCTCTGTTTGGTCTCCTTTCTTATTACAGCCCACCACTTCCAGTCTGGGTTGTAACAATCTGCAGACAGATTTCTGAGTATCTCCTCCTTTACACAGATCCTCACTGAGCCAAGTACTGTGAACAAATAGTTTCTCCGTGATATTATCCAGCAAGGTCTTGTTTTTGTCAAAACAAGGGTGAGGTAATGAAAAAATAGAAATATTTAAATAAATTAACTAGGGCTGCAACAAACGATTATTTGGATAATCGATTAATCGGATGGGGTCTCGACACGATTAATCGATTAATCGGATTACATAGGGACATTTTTAAAAACTGCTAGGGAAACGTTATTTTTCTCCTTCCTTCACTTTATTAAACACGCCATTATTAGAAAACAGTTCAATAGCAGAAAAACAACATGCCATCACCTAAATTGTCTTATAAGGTGTATAGACAGAGACCCTAAGCTACACCTATCTGTGACCTAAAATGCTTGGTCCAAGTTAAACAGCTTAAAGAGCAAGTCAACCCCTACCAGAGTCTAACTCCACTCCCGCTTCATGTTTGAAAAATGCAACACATGCTGTTGCCTGGCAGACCGAGAGGGCGGAGCCGCTAACAAATACACACACACTCAGGCTCACGACAGCATTGTGACATCATAATGTACCAGTTTACATCATAGCATACTTCTTAGCCAATAGCGGTGGTAGATTTAAATTAAAATACAGTGCAGAGTTTTTACCTGGCAATGGCACAACACTGCCAGTTTGAGGCAGAATATTTAAATTTTAACTAAGATGCAATGAAGTGCCAAATTATTGATGACACGTGTCTGCAGCACAATTAGACACTCGTTTATTTAGTTTATCAGCAAAAAAAAAGTTTATTTGGGGGTGACTTGCTCTTTAAGGGCAATTCTCATCTGTTTTGTTTGATCTCATCTGTAGACATTTATTATAATTGGGGATGTCAAACAACTAATTTTTAAATGTAATTAAACATAGGCTGTGAATTAATCAAAATTAATCACTATTTCCAAAAATGACTGAAACAATACCAAATAAAACAAAAATAAATGAATGCCATCCTCCTTGCGATGATGCCCTGGGCAACTGCCATAAAGTCACATCAAGAAATGTTGCTGATCATTCCAATGATCCCAAACAGACTCACATTAGGCCACATGAAAGCAACTGAACCCAAAAATATATTAACCAGTATATAACTGCACTCTCACAACACGCCTGCAGCAACAGTTAGGACTCCTCCCTCCCTTTTAAGAGCGTTTTCGCTTCTGAGGACATTGTGGTTGTAAAGCCACATGCTAGTAGTCT